GAGTCGCTTCTGCACGTTATTGCTTGCAGCGAGGGGTAGCGCGGGGCCGGAGAGAGCTGGAGGCAGCGAGGGCTGCTCCTGCCGGGATAGCCCGCGGTTTTGGGAACGGGGTCCCTGTGGGAGATTTGGGGGTGCTGCACACTTCGATCTCTGGGTCTGTGGGAGCGGTAGCAAATGTGCAAGGATGATTTGGGATGTGCAGCTATGCAGAGCGTGTTGCCCTGACTTTTTCTGTGGTGAGATGAAGAAAGGTATCCTCGCTGCTCCCAGCCTGCCTTTCAACAGGTTAATTATTTCATTAAGGCAAATGTCTGGAATTAGCAGGAGTTAGTTGCTGGGCTCTGCCTACACCATCTGTCTCGTGTGTCAGCCGCCGGATAGACGTCGGCAGGGCAAACTCTGGAAACTCCTTTGCAAGGCCAGGTAAAAGGAAGTAGTGCTGCAACCGCTGCGGCTCGCAGCCATCGCCCCGTGCGGCCGGGGCTGTCTCGGAGCTGCGTGGGGGCAGCAGGCATCGCAGCTTGGAGCCCTCGTGAAACGGGGGTGGTCGCCCCCCCCCCCAAAAGGCACCAGGGCAGCACGGACAGACAGGCATGAGGGAGGAGGAGGATGCTGTGACTGCCTGCAGGTAGAATGGGCTGTGCTGTGGAGTGAGGTGTTGAGGAGATGCCTCTGGCCAGCACTGCTGCGATGCTCTGAATGTCAGGTCTCCCGTTGCCTTGGCTTTTTCTGCTGTGGGTTTCTGTGGGGCGCGCTCCCACGGCTGTAGCTGCGCAGCAAGTGCCAGAAGCAGGACAGAGCAGGGCACGGGCAGCCGTGATGGTGCAGTGAAGCACTGGCGTCCCGGGGGTGCTTCCTGGAAACTCTGTCTGTGTGGCTGCACACGAGGCCTTTGAGCCAGCAGTGACCGCAAAGAGGGGCTTGGGTGCCGTTTGGACGGTGCCCTGCACCTTCTGTGTCCTCCTGGAAAGTGCTTACCTGTGTCTCAGGAGGCAGGCGGGAGGGTATTTTTTGCTGTAAACCTTCTTCTATAGTCTAATTCCTCTTGTCATCTCATTAACTGAGCCAGAAAAAGGTTGTCCTTCTTGGTGGGATATTAGGACTCTGAAAAAGCTGGGAAGTCAGTTGATTCAGAGGTAGGGAAGAGTCCTGGAAGCCTCTGATGTGCCTCACTACGAGATGGCATAAATTCCTAAAGGGGATCTGGTAATGAGATCCTGAGGGCCTGTTTCGGGGTGATGCTTGGGAATTTCAAGTTGCTGTTGGACAGCAGATTAGCCTCTGTGAATCGGGCGCAGGCATCATCCGTAAATCGTACCTTCCTGTGCCCAGTGCCAGTGTGATGTCCATAACGCCTTCAGTCCCTCTTATCCTCCCCCTCAGATTTCATCTTCTGTCCTTCCTACAACAAACACGAGTTTGGGTCTCGCATAAAAAAAAATTAAGACTTAGAGTTTACAAAGTGCTGTATAAATAGTAAACAGTAGTGCAAACTGAGTGTTTTCTGGCCCTCCCGGAGTTCCTGAGCAGGGGGACCAAATACCCACATGCTGGTGGAGCTGGAGATGCTACTTTTATCCTTTTCCTATGGAAAAGTGCAATTCTCAGTGGCTGCAAGGTGATAGACAGTTCGTGTCCTGCAGGTGGTGGGATGTAAGGGGACAGGGAGCCTGGCTGGCTGGGGGGAGCACAGTCTGGAGGGCGGAGTTTGGAGCAGTTGCAATCTCCTCTGTCCAAAGTTTTTTGCATATCCAACTGCAATCTGAGGTTAGCTCGCACAGAAGAGTTGAGCTGGTTTGTGGGCTTTCATCCAAGCCCGTATTAATTAAGGATGGCAGGGGGGAACGTAGGGAGTCCCAGGTGTCCCGTGGGTCCGGCACCACAGCCCTGAAGGTCTGGGGACTCATCCCTGGCCTGCCTGCGGCACACCTCGGCTCTTTCTCATCCCTCTCATAAGCAGAAATCTCTGGACTTTTATTAGCAGCAGGAGGAAGAGATAATTTATGAGGCCTGGTCTGAACGTGTTGGTACGGTTGAAGGCACTTGGGAATCTGTTTTCTGTGTGCTTCCCCCTGCCCACAAAAATAACCCCACAAAAAAGCAGTAAAATGTGAAGTGCCCACATAACCCTTGCATCAGGGCAAATGTGCTGTTTTAAAACAATCTCTTCTACTGAAGCAGTATGATTTCCCTCTTAGCAAAGCCCTGATACCCATCTCTGAGGCGCTGGTGATAAACTCTGAGATCCTAACAACAGGTTGACTTGTTTTCTGCCACCTCTACCTTTGCAGCTGCACCACAACTCTTGCACAACACTTGCCTCTCAGGGCCCCACTCCACTGCAGCTATTCAGCTCAAAAATAGTATTTCCTCCTTTTCTGCATGAGATCTTTTATTTGTGTGGCCTCCACTTGTGGCACCTGTGCAAGTCACCCCTCTTCTACCGGACAAACCACACCAGGTTCAGCTCACGTCCTTTTGGTAACCGCTGCCTCCATCCCTGCCTGTCCACCCTAAGCCGTGGTGAGGGGGCTCTGCCTGGGCGGAGGGATGTGCCCTGCTTTCCCGCGGCTGTCGGTGCTGCTTTCGCTCCCTGTGCGGGGCTGGAAGTGGTAGTGCAGAGACCCAGTCCGCTGGGGCAGCCCCATTGCAGGGGTGCTGAGGGGCTCCCCTCCCTGTGGCTCTGCAGCCAGCTTTGCTGTGCAAGGTGGGCGGAAGCTGCTGCCAAATTAAAGCAGTGGCAATGTGCACCCACTCCCGCTGACTCAAAGCGGCCGCTGCTCCTGCGGGATGACAGAGCGATGCTCAGGCTCCCCCGCATCTTGCGCCCACGGGGGACACAGGCAAAGCCCATTTACAGGCACCGCAGCTGCCGTGCTCTCCAGTCTGGCTGCTCAGGGCCGTCGTGCCCCATGCCTGTGTTGTGGCAGGCTCAGCACGGCATTTCTCCCCGCTTCTGCAGCGGGGGTTTGTGAGGTGGCTGCCCGGGAGGCCGGTGTTGCAGCCCAGCTCTGCTCCTCTGCAGCTTGCTGTGGCTGAGGTGAGCTCGGAGGCGACCTCCTGGCTCGCCCCAGCTGGGGGTCAGTGCCGGGGAGGGTCCATGTCTGTGGCAGACCTGGTGACATGGCTTGGCCCCGCGGAGATGGGTCATTGTTTTCCCTGCTGACTCGGCATCCTGGCTGCACAGATTTTCTGCTGGAGTTGCAGATTGTTTTCCATTTCCTGGGAGTGTGCTCGGGTTCTCTCTAGCGCACAGTCTGCTTTGGGATTATTTTTTGTTACGGTTCCCAGGGACCTGGTGTCTCATGTCAAATCCTTTGTGGCTACTTTGTCCTCTCTCGGTGGGCCAAGCTGTGGCACGGGGCTGCCCCATGTTGCTGAGCTCTCCGGAGGGCAGCTTTGTGGGACATGACCGCTGCTGTGACAGGGGCAGTTTGGGGCCCAGGGCCTTCACTCGGCATCGGTCTGTTGCTGCCCTGGGACATCCCAGTGGCCGTGGTGCTGCCCTGTGCCACAAGCAGTTTCGGAGCTGGGCCGGCGAGCATTTGTTCGGCAGCGTGCGGTGACTGAGTCCGTCTGCAGCTCCCAGGTTTCCAAAGTCCTGCAATTCCTCGCTGAGCTATTTTGGTCCTGCTCGCTGGTCTGATCTGCCCTGCACCCGGGGCTGCCACACTGGCACCTTCTTGTCACAAAGGCGTGCTGGGTGACGTTTGTGTTTGGCAGCTTCCCCACAGTGCAAACACGCGACGGTAGCAGTTTGACTTTGCTTTTCATGTGTTAAGCCGTGGGTTGTGGAGGCCTGGAAGAGGCAGCAGGAGGTTTGGGCAGGCTGGGAAACTGGACCTGCAGGAAGCTCGGCCGGCGGCCGTGGGACGCGATGCGGGGGGGAGCTGTGGACGAGGAGCAAAGCCCCAGACTCTCTGCCGAGTGTCATGCGGGCTTTCACGCCTTTTGAGATCCCTGGCCATGGTGGGGTTGGTGGGTGTTGGGGAGCAATGTGCACCTCCATGGGGAGGAACGTATTTATGCAAACGCTTCATTTTTCAGCAAGGAGAAGCAGCTAATATGCTTGTTTGGGTCAGCTCTGGCAGGTTATCCCTTCCCTCTCCTTCTTGCAAGCTCGGATGGGGGCTGAGCGACTGTGCTCGCATCCTGGCACGTCTGGCACTGACGGGTTGAGACGGCTGTAGGTGCAGAAGCAGCTAGCTCCCTGGGGAGCTGGGGCTGTGGGAGCAGAGCACCCACCTCTCCCTGCCTGTCCCTCCTCTGCAGGGTGATGCGAAAAGGAGCCCGGCATGCCGTACTTGGATCGACAGAACCGTATCTGCGGGTTCCTGGACATTGAAGAAAATGAGACCTGCGGCAAGTTTCTGCGGAGGTATTTCATCCTGGACACCCAGGCCAACTGCCTCCTGTGGTACATGGACAACCCTCAGGTAGGGTCCCGCAGTGCTCCCAGCTTCACGCTGGGCATGTCCGTGGAAGCAGTTAGCAAGTCTGTAGCTGCATCTGGGGCTCCCCACTGGGCTGCCCTGGTGGAGGCATCTCCTCCGGGTCCCAGAAGGAAAATGCTGTTTGCTGCATTGGCTGTCTGTCGGGGTCTCCCGTGGCTGGGTGCAGCCACGACCAAGCTCCAGCAGAGCAGCCTCCCTGCGACTTCTGTGGTTTCCAGTACTGTCCCAGCAGCAGCTTACACTACCAGGAGCCATTGATAACCCTGGAGGAGCCTATAGAAATGCTGTGCCAATGTGAGGTGTTACATCTCCCTTGTGTCTTAGCGTAGAGACAGTGATAACAAGAAAGAGAAGAGGTTATCCTAGAAATACTTGTCATCTTGGAAGTGGCATCATACAGCAAAAGCACTTAGACCAGGAGCTGGGCGGTTGGGGGAGATGGAGTTCTGTGCATGTCGTGCCCAGTGTCTCTGGGAGCTGCCCCGGTTCTTGCGGTCAAGCTCAAAAGAGCAAGAGCCAAAGCTGACCTTTAGGAGGATCCTCCTGGAAACACCACGGTGCTTGAGCACTGCTTGTAGGCTGGGGAGGGACCTGTCTTCCTAAAGAGCATCTCGCGGCAGATTCTTCATTGCCTTGTTAAAAGGGGAAGGGGAAGTGCCCGGCCAGCCGCCTGCCCACAGCCTCCTGGCCGGTGTTTAGCACAAACTCCTGCTCTCTGGGCCGTGCGGGGTGGGAGTCGGAGCCCGTCTTGCACCTGAGGTGCCGCTGCACGGGGCGGTGAGTGGGACAGGCAGTTTGGAGTGGGACCAAGGAGGGCACGGTGCTCGGGTGCAGCACAGCGTGGCCGGTCCCAGCTGCTTGTAGGGTGTGAGACGAACCAGGTGCACAGAGAAGGGGAGCAGCTGAGGCTGACAGTGTGGCTGTTGCTTTTGCTGCCTGGCCCCAGTGACACTAAATGACAGCCTGGCTCACCTCTTCTGTGTTCTCTCTGTCGTTTAACTGCCATTGCTCATTAAATGTTTTGCAGAACCTGGCCATTGGTGCGGGTGCTGTCGGATCTCTGCAGCTGACCTATATCTCCAAGGTAATGTTGGGGTGGAGCGGAGGGAAAATGAATGCTCCCTGTTGTCCCCTTATCTGTGTGGCTTTCCTGGGAGAGGCGATGGCTCGCCCTAGCAGCACCCGAGGTGAGGTCCTGGTCCTGCCCGAGCCTGTGCCATCCTCCCTGGGACGGGAGCCTGAGCGGGTCTGTGGGAAGGGGGGAATGTCCCTGCAGCATGGCTGAGCCCAGCGCTGGGACCGGTGTTTGCTTTCAACCAGCGTGGGACGAGCTGCAAGGTTGGGGTGCGGGAGGAAGAGGAATTGCTCTGCCATGAGGAAGGACACGGGGCGGCCGGGACTGAGCGGGGATGGGAGCATGGTGTCAGTGTGAGCTGGACGCAGAGCTGGCAATCAGCTTGGTGTTGCTGCTCCAGCACCGGGCTGAGCCAGAGTTTGCGCTCATACTGTGGTGCCCCTCTCATTTTGGCACTCAGTCCCCATAACCCCAGTGCGGTGCCTCCCACTGCAGGTCCTGCTGCAGCCCGAGGTCTGCGGGAGGGTGCTCATCAGACCCAATGAAGATGGGGAGGTAGAGACAGTCCCAAGGTCCTGCTTGCGATGGGTTCGGGGGCACCAGTACCTCTCCCCTGTGCTTAGAGGGCAGTGCCCTGAAGGATGAGACCTTCTGGAAGCTCAGTCTTCTGTCTGTCTTAATGGTGTTATCTGGCTTCCACAGGAAGGCAAAAATAGTGCAATAAATGACAACTGTTGCAGCACTGGTGACTGGAACGCATGGAGCCGTGGCTGCAAGCATGGCTGCGGAAAGTGGAGCTGCCACCATCCTTTTCCCAAGAGCTGCCCCTCGGCTGCTCCTGGGGGGGGGAGCGGGGGCTTGTGGCCGCCACGCCGGGCTCAGCCCCGTACTGGAGCTGGGGAAAGAATGG